ATGCACAAACTACCATCTTAGCATCAGCAAAGGCAAATATACCTCTAATGCTTGTTTGCTGTAGTATTCAGCCCAACGTTCAGTTGTAATCCACCAACACCTTCATCAAAGAGAGACAAAGCCTCAAATGAAAAATTAAAATACATTAGGAAGGAAAACTGACATAAAAAAGGAAAAGTAATTTTGTAGAAAGACAGAACATGGTTCCAGCACCTCCAGAGATAGTCACAATACCAGTGCACTGCAAAGAAAACCTCTTTGAGCATGAAGTTTGATCCAGACATTTTCCCAGGATATTTGCTGTAACATTTACTGTAACTACTGGGAATCAACAACAAATAGGTTATTGGCAAGCTGTATTATTTTAAAAAGTTATAGTAATGAGACTGTATTCTATGGTTGTCACAGAACTTTGTAAAATTAAAAAAAAAACCAAACAAACAAACAAAAAACCCCCAAAAACACCAAGGGAAAACAGATATGGTCATTAATGTGGACTGCTAGCATGTTCAAGGTACAATATCTTTTCTCAATATCAACATATGCATTACCAAAAGATCAAAAGTATATGGGGTGTTTTGTATGAATGCAGTTTTTCGTTTGAATGTAGTGTTTATGTTTAAAATCAATGTAGCAGCTTTTGGACTTGATTCTTATGTGTCGCTTCTAACTTGAGATATTCTGATTCTACAATATTTTCTCCCACACAAAGGGAAAAAAAGGCTACAAAAGAAAACCTCTACTAACTTAATATTAGAATAAATGTCTCAAATACACTGATAAATGGTCTTTAAATCTTTTTATGCTGCATTTGTCACTTTTCACTTTCTGAAGAAAAACCTCCTCTGATAGTATTTATAACCCCACACTGTTTGATTTCTGCTTGAATTGTTATAGTCACTTAATTCATGCACTGCATTTTGTCTAAATGGAACTACATTATTTGGGCTGTTATAAACAGGTTATAAATTACATAATGGTCTTCTGAAACCAGAAACATAATTAAAAAAAGAAGCGGGAGGGAATAAAACAACTGGTCTTTCTTTTCAAATGGTCCTCTATAGTTAAGTCCCTCCTAAACAGCAAAACAAGGAACAAGACAGCATCTCAGTTTAACTATATTTCTGCTTGTAAAGAATAAAACAAGTATGAGTCACTAAAATCAAGCTAATACCTTCATTCATTTAAAGACAAACATTTCAAAGTTTCAAAATTAGTGGAAGATAGAATGCTAGTTTGAAATATGGCTTCTGAAAGCAAAAGGCCCTTTTTAACCTCTACTGTTATTGATTTGGGGAGGCAGAAGTTGCTAACACCTAACAAAACCAAGAAGGCTTTGTAGAGATATTTTAGACAAATTTATCGGGTTTATTACACCTTAATCATTACAGCATCATTTAAACTGAAGGATAAATTAAGATACAGTTGAAAAATATATCAGAACAAGGATGAATCTTCTATAGAAAGAAAATGATCCAAGCAAAATATGATACTTCTAGCAGATACTTCCTCACATAGCACATAGAAATATACTAGATTTAGGCTGTGGTTCAACTGTTGCTTCCAGACAATTTGAATGTAAGGTGCTGCCAAGAAGGGTAGTTTGTCACTCTCCAGCCTCTTCATTCCTGGCTGAATGTGATCACTCCTCCCTTCTGATGTTCCTGCTCAGCAAAGCTTTGCTGTTGAGTACTGATTCAGCTGAAGAAAACACTTTTGGTCAGGTTCAGGTTTCAAGTGGATTCCACCCCTGCTCCAGCTCACCACTGGGCTGCACAAGTCCTGCAGAACAGGACAGCAACGGAAAGGAGCAACCACCCTTCAGTGAAAGCCACTATTTAGGTTAGCTTAGGGCAACTGCCAAATCACAGTCCAAGGACAGGTTTGTCTGCTCCATTCTCTCCATGTCTCCTCCAGAAGTGCCCAAAAACCTGTTATTAGATTCACCCTCTCAGCAACCCAATAACTAATTCTTTATTTAAAGTGGAGGAGCTCCATCAGCAGAGACAGAGAGAGACTCATCACCCCAGTCTTAAGTCATTTGGTATGTGGGAGACTCAACCTTTAGCCCTGGTTTCAAATCTGGCAGAACAAGAATTAAACTCTAGAAAGCCCAAAGAATAAGAATGGCTCATTGCAGGCTGGTACACCTTTTCTCATTCATTCTGACAAAACCCCCACCAAAATATTGCCCCCCTCCCCCCCAAAAAAAAAAGTCAAAGCTGTAACCCTCTCCTTGCCAGCAAGCATACTATGCATATAAGCTAGAGCAGCTTACTAGCTAACTCTAAATGGCAGCAGAATAAACCCTGTCAAGCACCCAGTCTTACCTATGCAAGATGAGCTTGAAAGATCAAGCATTTCAGGTTTTCTGTTCTTTGATTTCTTTCATCCTCACACACACAAAAAAAAAAAAAAAAAAAAAAAAAAAAAAAAAAAAAAAAAAGACCTTCTACTACACTTATTAGAAAATAAATCCAGTAAAAAATGATGCAGCAGTAATTCAACTCTTCTAGAGCTTTTCTGCTTCCATGAATTTTAATGGAATTGTTTCCAGTTTGTATTAGTCTTCAGCAACAGATATTAAATACAAGAACTAATGCATCTTCCCCAAAGCAACAAAGTTCATAAAAACCTTGTAGCACAGCAGGACTCAGTTTAATACTTACAAACAACAAGAGAACTTCAGGACAAAAGTTAAACTGGCTATGCATAGGGTCCTGGCCCCAGTCTTAGGTTTTGCACACATCTATCCGAGGGAGCAATTCCCCTTCTAGCACATAGAGTGTTGTTGATCTAAGGCAGGAATGAAAAAAACACACAGTAACAGTTTCAATCCCTCTTGCCACCAACTAATTTACCAACCCGTAACATACAAATCTGTTCAGATACAGTATCAAACTTCTTGAAACAACCAGCTACACAGCACAAACTATGCCAAAGCACAAATGCAACTTCTCTATCTGGACACCCTATTTTGCTCCTTCCCTTCCACACAGATTTAACTCTGGGGTAGCATTCTAAACTGTCATCTTATAGCAGTCATCTGCATCTTCTTGAAGCATCTCCTGTACTGGCAACAGAGTCAAAGATCCTTCTAACAGACAGAAATATTGGTCAGAAATCAGCAGCTGCTTTTGCAGTGCCTAAAACATTTTTTTCTTTTTTTCCATTCTTTATTATATAGACCTAGGGACTTCAAGAGGAACTGACAGTCAACACTGGCACCACTTTATTCCAGATCCCATAAAAACATACATTTTTTCCAAAAAGTTTATGTTTTCAGGCCCCAATTCTACCATGAAAAGATGAGCTTCTGGGCAGTCACATAACTCATTCTCCAAAACTGAAGAAAGAAAACAGATTTTTTTTTTTTTTTTTTTTTTTTTTTTTTTTTTTCTATACCACTTATGCTCAGTGCCTGTAGCCAGGATTTCCTGACACTCAACATCAAAATTAATTATAACCATACTGATAATGTTATCAGTTTCCTTCCCTTACCCAGAATTCTTCCCAAGAAGACAAACCAGAAAAACAAAATCAAAACCCCTTCCAAGATATGATCATCAAGGCAGAATCATAATTCTGCTACCTGATACAGTTCAGCAGGCATCACACACCCATAAGGATTTGAAAACAACCTTGTACAGACACAGCCCAAACCCATCAGAGTGTAAAATTAAGCTGCCAAAGTAGTGTGCAGTTTGGAAGTCTGATTAAGAACAACTAGTCCTACACTAATAAATAGTGTCCTATTACAGCATGATAAAAGCCTTCCCTGCTCTACCAGTAAAATGGGTGTATTATTCTACAGTCTCTTAAAGTACCTTTCTATTGTGAAGAAAAGGGTAAGATTTTTCACCTCTGAGTTTTCTAGTTAGTATCAACTATTCAGTATTTACTTTCATTTATGTGTTTACATGTGCTGTAGCCTACCAAACCCATTTTTAAAATGGACACCTTTCCCCAAGCCATTCAGAAAAACACTAATCCACAAAGTTAATTATTTTTTCCCGGTTTTTTTACCATTAATAGCACATAACCTCTTTCAGTGGCCCATTTAAATGTTTTTTTCCTGCTTAATGAGGGAGTGCCACAAGGGCAAGAGTATATTAGTATTAAAGAACCAGTGAAAATAGCTAAAATTATATTCATCATATTAGCTATCACCCTTTACCCTTCCTGGCAGTTGCATGCTTAATCTATTTTTATCTACAAAGATAGTTTTGCCACTAACCACAATATTTCCAGAGAAATAGGCCTGAATTTTAGTTATAGCATTGCAAGCAGACTTTTTGGGTATTGCAAAACTTCTTCATTACTTTAGAAAATGCTACTACTGAATGAGCAAATCCTTTGCTCCTAAAATGACTTCAGCTTAGGAAGATTTGTTAGACTGCATGTGTACATTGTATGTCATACACTAAGAAAACCACTGTTAAAAGTGTATCATAGACACAGGCAGTGTAGCAAATCTCATTTCTGTACAAGAAAAAATAATCCACCCCTATTTCTGCTTTTGTCAGTGATGATCTCCACTAAAATATTAATGAGTAATTAAGAAAATACAAGCAATTCTTCTTCAAGTACCACAACATATTTTAAGAACCTGAAAGGCAGAACAGATATGCCACATCCTTAGCCAAAAAACAAGTTCTTAAAAATATCCAGCCTGAACAGCATATGTCAAACACAGCAGCATCCTTTATGTAGAAACACTCAAGGCAATCCTTTAGCAACTTATAGCATAGCAGTACTGACAACATGGCTGCAGTAACTGTCATAGTTGAAAATTAAAAGACACGAGTAGAAATAAATATGCTTGCAGCAACACACCATGAATATTTTCATCTCTCCCTCCTTATACTCTGCAGTTTAAATTCTGATGCATGCAATAATATATAACTATGGTGGAAAGAGACTGCAGATACAGCTACTTAGGTTGCAAGATGTAAAACTCTGTAAACAAACAGCACATTGCAATTTACACTGTCACTTACCTCATAAGACCAAACACACTGAGTTCCTCCAAACCTTCGGACACACCTACCCACCTCCACGTCCTCATGAGTGGTGTACATTTCTTGAAGGCATTCACCTATATGTGGCACCATTCTCCTGAGAACTTCCCGGCTGAAGATCATTCCCGGTCCTCCCATACAGAAATTCTCTCCAGGCTCCAGCCCAAGTTTTCCAAGTTCTTCAATATTACCCAGACCAGTTTGTCCCAAATACAGAGGTTTACTGCTGTTCAGTGAGCGAAGAAACTCCTCCAATTTTTCACCTGAAAAAGAGAAAAGATTACTGTTATTTCTCTGCTAGTTTGCCAGACATCTCCCTGTACCTCGAGGTTTGGATTTGTTTGGTTGTTTGGTTTTGGTTTTTTTTGTTTTTTTTTTTTTTGTTTTTTGTTTTTTTTTTTTTAATATAACACGGGATTTTTAAATATATCACAGGAAATAATTTCCAAAGCAGTATCCTATACCTAATTGAGAATATCCTTAGACAAGTTTACCTTCATCAGATTTTTTTTTAAATTAATTAATATTACAAAGACGTTTTCATTCAGCCAAAAGCCAGAATATGGTAACAACTTCATTTCACCAGTGAATCCTGTTCTGTTCAGCCCTTAGTGATGGAAAGCACTCCCTTGCTAGGACAATCTGACAATATAGTTCCAGGCTGGGGAGGAAGGGGAGGGATATTATTTTAATAGGATTAATTTTTGAAAAGACGTGAGAAAATCTAAATTAACCAAGACAAATGTGTTTTATTACAGAGCCATTGTAGGAACAAGGTAAAATTTGGGGTCCTTCCAAAGTATTTCCAGTGCTACAATGTCTACACACTTCTTCAAACTTCCTACCTATTTAAGAAATTGTGATTTCAGTTCTACTTGAAATTAAAAGTTTCTGAGTAGATTTAGCTCAGAACCTTGGAGCCACTCAATGACAGATTCATTACAACTTGAAAATGTGCCCAAAGAAAACACTGACAACTTTTATGTCTGCAGCCGAATACATACATACATATATAAATATATATACGTGTGTGTGTGTGTGTGTGTGTGCGCAAGTATTTCAGAAACAGCTGACAAGCAAGCAGCCCATTAAACAACTCAAAATCAACTGACAAATAGGGATGTCCAGGATTACCTCCACTTAAAGTGCCAGCAACAGTGTGAGCAACCACGCTCACAGCCTTACATCTCCAGCCTCTCTTTCTTCCCTAAGAACAGGACACTGCACGGGTGACGGCTGCAACAAGCGCGGACCGAAGGAAAGAGGGCTGCAGAACATCATTTCCTAATTGCTATACAACTCGCACGGAAATAGGGCGAGGACTTTCCAGGGACACGCTGCAAAGGAGAACAAACAGCCTTCCAAGTGGCCTTCGGAGGCCGCGTCTCCTTAGCGTCTCGTCGCGAGCGTCGGCGACCCATCGCAGAACCGCTAGTGCTGGAAACACCATTTCCGAGGAGCACCGAACCGAAGCCTCCGGGCCGAGCCGCCGCGTCCCCGGCCGCCCCCGGCCCCGCCGAACGGCCGTAGTAGGAACAGAGGCTGGCGCCGCGCCTCTTCTTCTCGCTCAGCTCGGCCACTCTGGGGGCGATAAGCCAGGAGGCGGCGGTGAAGCCCAACACCAGCCCCAGCACCACGCTCAGCCA